ACCAACAAAACTAATGTAAAATCAAAATTTTTACTTGGGATGAGTATATATGATCTTTCCCGGTGCAATTTGGGTTTTCCCGCATTTTTCCCGGTTTTTTTTCCAGGTAAATCCAAATTCCCGGTTTTTCCCGGTTTTCCCGGTTGAATGGACACCCTGGAATAGTTACACTCACCTGAGAAGTTTAGGGCGTTGCAAAACCGCTTTCAAACAGTTTTGGACAATTCTGTCGATTGGAATGAGAAAAGCAGCAGTAAATATATGCAATCAAACAAACACGTCATATGTGTGCGTGACGCTGAGAAAATGCTAATAGAAGCGAGGTCGCTGCTTGGATTGACGAGACTCCATCACGTAGATGATTGTGTGAACTAATAAAAATTTCAACAAATTCAGGGTGGTTAATTTTCCCGGAAAATTTTAATTGAAATTTACAGAATTTCTCGGACATCTCATTTACGCAATGGCTCTTTTTTATTTTCTGTGATTTGTTTTCCGTCGATCTTGTTTTCCGTGCTGAGCAGCAATGTTACCGACGCCAGGGAGGCAGCTCCCACACCTGGACCCTACCTATCGACCCATCAACTCATGAACCGGAGACCAACGGCTTTACTTCCCTTTCGAAGGCAGGCGTGATCAGAGGTGTTATGCCTCAGAACATCCCGACGGCGCCGACTGGGATTGAACACAGGCCTACTGGAGTGAGAGATAATCACGCTTACCACTACACCACCGGCACTTCTAGTCGAATGGCTCTCTTGGCCATGATTTTTAAATTTCGTATTCCCATAAAAATCCAATTGTAGAACAATATGACAATTTGTTGCGATTTTGTTTGTTTCGTTTTTTTTATTTAAATAAAATACCATTACTTTTTTTCTAGCGACAACTGTTGTTCATACCATTACTTACCTTACTTACCAATCAGGCTAAGGCCTTGTTGTCCTCTGCTGTCCGAAGAAGTCGTCTCCACTCTACTCGATCCATGGCCACAGTTCGCCAGCCTCGTAGTCTGCGAAGGGTCCGCAGGTCGCCTTCTACTTGGTCGATCCACCTTGCCCGCTGCGCGCCTCTTCTTCTTGTTCCTGTTGGGTCGCTTTCTAGAACCATTTTCACTGGGTCGTCGTGCGGCATTCTTACGACGTGCCCAGCCCACCGTAGTCGCCCAATTTTTGCAATGTGGACGATGGATGGTTCTCCCAGCAGCTGGTGCAATTCGTGGTTCATTCGCCTCCTCCACGTTCCGTCATCCATCTGCACTCCACCGTAGATGGTACGCAACACCTTCCGTTCGAAAACACCAAGGGCGCGTTGGTCCTCCACGAGCATAGTCCAGGTCTCGTGGCCGTAAAGGACCACCGGTCTAATCAGCGTCTTGTAGACAGTCAACTTCGTGCGGCGGCGAATTTTATTCGACCGGAGCGTCCTCCGGAGTCCAAAGTAGGCACGATTCCCTGCCATAATGCGTCTTTGAATTTCTCTGCTGGTATCATTTTCGGCGGTCACCAGTGAGCCCAAATACACGAACTCATCGACCACCTCGATTTCGTCACCGTCAATCTGAACTCGGGGTGGGAGGCTAACATTGTCTTCCCTAGAACCTCTTGCTTTCATATATTTTGTCTTTGATGCGTTGATGGCAAGTCCAATCCGTCTAGCTTCAGCCTTCAGTCTGATGTACGTTTCCGCCATCATCTCAAAGTTCCGTGCCATAATGTCAATGTCATCGGCGAAACCAAGGAGCTGGATGGACTTCCTGAATATCGTGCCACTCGTGTCTATCCCAGCTCTTCTGATCACACCTTCTAACGCGATGTTGAACAGCAGACACGAAAGTCCATCACCCTGCCGTAACCCCCTTCGAGATTCAAAGGGACTCGAGAGTGTCCCCGATACTCGAACAACGCACGTCACTCGATCCATCGTCGCCTTGACCAATCGCGTCAGTTTATCCGGAAATCCGTACTCGTGCATAATCTGCCATAGCTGATCTCGATCGATTGTGTCGTATGCGGATTTGAAATCGATGAACAAATGATGTGTGGGCACGTTGTATTCGCGGCATTTCTGCAGAACCTGCCGAATCGCGAAAATTTGGTCCGTGGTAGCGCGGGCACCCATGAATCCCGCCTGGTATTGCCCCACGAACTCTCTTGCATATGGTGACAGACGGCGGCATAGAATTTGGGAGAGTACCTTGTAGGCGGCGCTCAGCAGTGTGATCGCGCGGTAGTTGCAGCAATCCAACTTGTCGCCCTTTTTGTAGATTGGGCATACGACACCTTCCATCCACTCCTCCGGTAATATCTCCTCCTCCCAAATCTTGGCAATTACCCAGTGCAGCGCTCTAGCCAGTGCTTCACCACCGTATTTCAATAGCTCACTTGGTAGTTGATCTACACCAGTTGCTTTGTTGTTCTTCAGCCGACCGATCTCCTCCTCAACTTCTTGAAGATCAGGGGCCGGTAGCCTGTCGTCTTCTGCGCGTGCTCCAAGGTCTGTTGCCGTGCCACCTTCGTTTTCTGCTGCTTCACCGTTGAGGTGCTCGTCATAGTACTGCTTCCACCTCTCAATCACCTCACACTCGTTCGTGAGAAGGTTACCGTCCAAGTCCTTGCACATATCGGCTTGCGGCACGTAGCCTTTGCGCGAACTATTTAGCTTCTCGTAGAACTTCCGTGTGTCGTTTACGCGGTACAGATTTTCCATCGCCTCGCGATCTCGATCTTCCTGCTGACGCTTCTTCCTTCGGAAAACCGAGTTTTGTCTGTTCCGCGCTTGTCTGTATCGCTCCACATTCAATCTCGTGCGGTGTTGCAGCATTCTCGCCCGTGCTGCATTCTTCTCCTCTACTAACAGTTTGCATTCGCCGTCAAACCAGTCATTTCTTCGGTCCGGGATTGCAGTACCTAGTGCCGCTACAGCAGTACTACCTATGGCTGAACGGATGTCCCTCCAGCCATCTTCAAGAGAAGCTGCGCCAAGCTGCTCTTCCGTGGGTAGTGCAACTTCCAGCTGCTGCGCGTAGTCCTGGGCAACTCCGGTGTCCCGTAGTTGCTCAATGTTGGGTCGTGGCGTTCGACTTCGACGTGTGTTATGCACCGTCGAGAGTTTTGAGCGCATGCATACTGCAACTAGGTAGTGGTCCGAATCTATGTTCGCACTGCGGTACGTGCGGACGTTGATAATGTCGGAGAAGAATTTCCCGTCGATTAGAACGTGATCGATTTGGTTTTCTGTGTGTTGGTCAGGTGATCTCCAGGTGGCTTTGTGGATATCCTTGCGGGGGAAAAAGGTACTTCGAACTACCATACCCCGGGAGGCTGCAAAGTTCACGCATCGTTGGCCATACCATGCCGGTATTATTTTTCACCATATTTAGGTATTGTTAAAACCGGGAGAAATATGTTGTGCACCGAAAAAAACTGAGGTTTAATTTCTTAAATTCAGTGGCCATCATAAATGTCAACAGACAATAACATTGCAACGAAACGGTTTCAAGCTCTTTGACAAAATAAATTTTGATTGACTTACTTTCCTTCTAAAACCGAAGTTTCCTAAATTATATATTCATTTAATCGCATGATGATCGGTGTCAATGTTTCAAATGTTCCGTATACCCACCCCTGGTCGCGGTTGGTTAAATGGATCCTAAATCATTGTCACATTAAACCGCATGCACTTTCCGCCTGTTGACAACCAGCGAGAGTTACTCTGCTAGATACAGTTTGATTCCATACAGCATCACGCACAAATTTCAACCAGTATGATTGCTTGTGTGCTGCTATTTTTTTGTGCCACCGGAGCAGGGCATGTAGAAATAAGACTCGCAAGCTCACATCGTGCAAAAGGGGTCTGATGATGACGGGGGTGTCGACGGCGGTGGTGTCGGCTGTGGGAGGGGATTATTTTCATCGTTTGTAATTCTATGTTTTCCTCCGTTTCTCTCTCATACAGTTTCTAGTTTTCGTTTTGATTTCCCAGCTCACTCTTTTCGCACTATTACGATTGAACTTGAACTGACGAGAGCACGGAACAGCTCTTGAATTGCTACCACCATTACCACCACCACAACGATCAAGCGTGATTGGATCACTCATTTACGTCGATTACCACCGGTGGTTGGTGGCGGCGACGGCGGCTACTTTGGCCGAAGAGTATATGTACCGGCAGACGGCTTGATGCTACCTTGTTTCTGTTGTTGTTGTTGTTGTTGCGGTTGCATGGGAAATTTGCAGATGATCGCTCGGTTAAGAGGGTGATCGTTTTCTTTATTTTTTTTTCTGATGTCGGAGAGTCGGATGTCGATGATGACGAATTTGAGTTTTGCCCCTTTCTGTGCATCCCCTCAACACACCTATGCCATTTTCTTGGAGCCACCTTCCTAACTTTCTTGTTATGCGCGTGCAGCGTTCAATAACGCGGAGCGTCCATCGGAAAGTAAAAGAATAGGACACAAGCCATAGCAAGAAATTAAAATAATTATAGACGACGGACGGTTGGGCGGCAGGCAGCGTGAAGGTGTTCTAGAAAAGAGTACCTTCCTCGTCTACACTGCTCTATGATGCTTGAGGATGCTTGTGTGGATGGCTTACAACAACAGAACTTACCGATCGTAATTTGCATGAAACCACCTTCGTCGCCGTTTGCTGCGAGGTTGTTTGCTGCTCAATTGTGGATAGATCAGTGTTGGTGGAACCGCCAATTTTTTTTTTTGGGTCGTATGTTCGGTCTGCGCCGAGCGCCAATTTATCTCTCTGTTTTCGATCCATCTTTGTTCCGCCTCTAGTGGTTGTTATTTTTCTCGCTGGTTGCTGCTTCCAACTTCTCCAATGACGTCAGTGGCATTGCTGTTACATGGTTATTTCGGAAATTGACTTTCGAACAATTCGAAGCTATGGACGGGGTCAGATCATTACCGCGAAATTTCCCCCCAATAACGAGTTCAAAAGTTCAACGCGCAATATTAATACGATTACCATTTTTTCTTTTTTTTCCAGATCACCACATCGGCAACGAAGAAACTCTGGGAGAAAGGAGGCAGCAATGATGTCAAAGTGGCAACCGGGGGTGCCACCGGGCCACTGGCGCCGCTACAGTTGCATGGAACCACCGATCATCAGGTGTGGCGTGATTCCACCTGGTCGTCGCAGGGCGATGCAATACTGGCCTCGAGGCGCATTTTTCCACACGCGCCGGACACGAATCCGACTGGATCGACAGGAATTTTAAGGTAGAGTGCCACTGAAATATGGACTTTCTCCCGCAGATCAAACTAATCTTGGAATTGTGTTACGGTTTTTAGCCCACGGGATTCCACCGGAGGACTCGGTGTAAAAATGGTAGAATACGTCCTCGGTGGATCGCCAACGAACAAGGAAAGCCCGCTTGCTAGTTTAGAACCTCGATTTAAGGGATTGAAATTCGATGATAATGACAAGGTAAGTGTGTAAGATGGGAAGGATTAAGGAAATGTTCGTTTTCAGACAAAGAATTCAAAAACCACTGGGTGCTGACTATGAAGAAGTTGTTTATTCTGTAGGTATTCTTATGTCCTTGTTTAATCAGGATTGAGAACATCCTTTTAGGAGACGTAAGCATATAGTACTCGTCGCTGTATACTTGAGGGTATCCGGGGGGTTTTCTAAAAGTGACTCATAAACCTTAAAAGATTCCATAATACATCAGGTAAATCAGTCCTATTGGTTGGAACTTAATTGATCGGCTGAATCGAGAACTCCATGTAATTATGTGAGTTCACAGGATTTTTTAAGTAGCTCTGTGGAAAATTGATTGGCGATTGTGAAGAGAATTCCAGCTGAAAATACCAAGGGAATCAAATTATGAGGGTACAATTTCAAAGTGATTGTGTGAAAAGTTTTAAGAAAATTCCGAGTATAATTTCAAGGGCAGAAAAGAATTTCTAGATATTTTTAAGGATAATTCCTAAAAATGTTTTAGAAGAAATTAAAGAAAAACTCCAAGATAATTCCAGGGCTGTTACAACAGGCGCGGATTTCGCGAATTTCGCGAATTTCGCGGATTTAGCGATTTTCGCGGATTTGTCGCGGGTTTGAATTTTCAGTCGCGAAAATCGCGGAAACATTAAATAATGTCGCGAAAATCACGAAGGGATTGATGTGCTGTCACAAAAATTGTGGAATTCATTGTAACCTTTCCGTCCCGGACTATTTTGCTGTCATCAATTTGTTGTTCATTTGGCTCTCAATTTTTTACCGGTTCAAACCAAACACCGTGTAAATAATCGAGAAATGATCTCAATTCAATAGGTCACACCGGATTTACACGGAAATTCCCTGAGGTCTGTCCAATGCAAGTCATTTTCCTTTTTTTTCAGGTGAACATAGCATTTTTCGTTGTAAAATCATAAACAAATTGTATATATGCGAGTAAATGCCATGTATACCGGATATTCTAGGTTCTCCAAATCGTCCTGGAGTTCAGTTGATTTTTTCTACTATATAAACCAAGACTCCAATAATGTCTGTGGTATCGAAATATGTCCAAACAGATTCAAAGTGTCAATGTGGATTGTACCTGACCTATTGCTACATATACAAGATGTTATAGGTTCTGAAATCATTCTGGAGATGAGATTATTTTTCTACTAGATCACCCAATCTAATTCAATATCTGTAGTATCGAAATATGCCCACACAAATTTGCAGTGTCTATGTGGATCATGCCAACCTATTTCCGTGTATGCCAAATGTTCTAGGATTTCCAAATCGGTATTTTGATACTACAGATATTATCCTAGTCTTTGTTGATCTAGTAAAACAAATCATCTGAACTGCAGGACGATTTGGAGAACCTAGATCATCTGGTATACGTGGAAATAATTAAACATTATAGACACTATGAATCTGTTTGGACACAAGGTTGCAAAGACTCATTTCAGCTAAAATAATGTTTTTCGGAATAATAAAACCAAAAAATGGTATGATGGCATGTTTTACTTGTAACTTACAAGAAGAGGTTACAAAGTATGCGTTGGAAACATAAGACCTGTAAATTTTGCTTTCTATGAGTCACAATCAGCGATTTGCTGATCGCTGAGTGAGTGAGTGAGTGAGTGAGTGAGTTTGTGAAAAATCACTGATTGTGACTCTCATGAAGTGAAATAAACAGGTTTAATATGTCAAACACATTCTTTGCAACCTCTTCTTCAAAATTTGATCATGGCATCTAATTATTTCATAATTTAGAAAAACATTGTTTTAGCTGAAATGAGTCTTTGCAACCTTGTTTGGACATATTTCGATACTACAGACTTTATCCCAGTCATGGTAGATCTAGTAGAATAAATCATCTGAACTCCAGAACGATTTGGAGAACTTAAAACATATGGTATACATGGCAATAGTTCATGCATGATCGACATAGACTCTGTGCATCTATCTGGAAATATTTCGATACTAAAGACATTGTCCCAATCTCGGTTGATGTAGTAGATCAAATTATCTGAACTCCAGGATGATTTGAAGAACCTTGAACACCTGGATTACTCGGAAATAGATCATGCATGATCCACATAGACACTTTGAATCTTATTGGACATTTTCCGATACTACAGACATTATTGCAGTCTTGTTTGATCTAGTAGAGCAAATCAACTGATGTCCTGGACGATTTGAAAAACCTATAATTTTCGGTATACATACTAATAAGCCGTGCATGATCCACAAAGTCACATATATACGATTCGGTTATGATTTGACAACGAAAAGTGCTAGGTTCATATTAGAAAAAAATAAATAATGAAAATGTCTCACCACAGAACCCAAGGAATATCCGTGTTTGGTTTGAATCGGTAAAACATTGAAGAAAACTAGAGCCAAATTAACTACAACATTTAGGACAGCAAAATACGTCAAGAAAATTTGCATTTCAAATGAAAATGTATTTTTTTTAAAATAATGTTTCATCAAAACTAGGCCGGTATTATTCAATAGAATCTCATAATGTAAGGGTGTTTTATTATGTTCACTAATTACTCAGAATTTATAATATACATAAATAACTGAAGATGATACAATGTAATTTAAAAAAAATAAAGGTTACAAACGATACTCCTTTAGTAGTAAAGGCGCAGCTACAAAGCAAGTCCATGCTGGAGGCGACTGGTTTCGATTCACGTCCGGTCTTTTAATTTTTCGGCTTGGAAAATTTCTCTATTTTCTTGGGCATAGGATGGTACGGGCATAGAAAGCTCTCAATTAAAATGTGAAAGTACTTCAAAGAACACTAAGTTGAGAGCAGGCAAAAATCTAATATGCTATAAGCTTGAAATGCCATGTAGTAGTATACAAATGTTATTTTTAGGCAATGAAATTTTTTTTTGGCGCAGATTAGTATTTGAAGTCGCAGATTTCTTTTCAAAAATCGCGGATTTCGCGGATCAAATTTAGAAAATCTTGTAACAGCCCTGTAATTCTGAGTAAAACTTTTAAGACAATCCTAAGGTGAATTGCATGGGAATTTTAAGGAGATTTCATACGAATTAAAAAAATGTAAGTAATTTTCAGTGAATGTTTAGAAGAAGTTTAAAATTTGAAGAGAACCTAGGACAAATTTAATGAATTTTCTGGAGTTTTATAACAAAATTTTCAAAGGACGCTTAAATAGAAATTATTTTAAAACAATTATGAAAAGAACTCTGAAAGAAAACTATATTAAAGGAAATGCTTGAAAACAATCAAATAAGATCCTGTAAAGTTTTGAGCGAATTTTGATAGACCAAAACTTTGAACGCAGAAGCAAATTCAAGATCCAGGAAAAATGCTGTTGTCTTAGTAATGCTCCATTTTATTTAACTTAGTGCTCTGTTCGGCGCAATTTAATAAGTTTTATGCTTAATTTAAGTGTATATAACACAACCGGGAAAACCTCCAAAATTCCGGAAAGAAACGGGAAAAAACTGAGAAATTGCTAATCGGAATTTGCTAATCGGATTTTGCTAATCGGATTTTGCTAATCGGAATTTGCTGGTCACCATAAAAGCCCAGCTCTCCTGTAAAATTTGCTTGAGTGCATGAACTCGAATTCATCAGTGCACTCGTCAACTGGTGCTCATTCGTCCTAAATAAAGGAAATCAATCAATGGTGTTGATTCGGCCAAATACGAACGACTCCGGGTAGATAGTTCGATCAAGTTCTACTAGGTAGAACTGTCGGAGTCGCTCGTATTTGTCTAAATGAACACCAGCCTCATTGAACAGCATTACATTTTTCATAAACAATCGGAATATTTCTGGAGTTTTCTGAATCATTCTGAATCATCATCATTGAATATTTCTGAAGTGAAAAAAAAATGCATGCTTCAAATAAAAAGTTTTTCGAATCTCTAGGTAGTTTGCAGAATCTGCTTCGAACATACAACATTTTTTTAGCACCTCCCCGGTAAGTTAAAAAATTCCCTGATAAACTCAGAGCTTTAGAGCGGCGCGGTGTAGTGGTAAGCGAGATTGCCTATCACCCCAAAGAGCCTGGGTTCAATCCCAGTCGCCGCCGCCGGGATTTTCTGAGGCATAAAATCTCTTATCACGCCTTCCTTCGGAAGGGAGGTAAAGCCGTTGGTCCCTGGTCCATGAGTTGATGAGTCGATAGATAGGTTCCAGGTGTGGGAGCTGCTTCCCGGGCGTCGGTAGCATTGGTACTCAATACGGAAAACAAGATCGACGGAAAACAAGATCAAGGAAAAAAAATGAAAAATTCAGAGCTTTACTAGAGAAGTTATTTGAATTCCAAAGAACATCAGCGAATTTCAGGGAACTTCATTGCAGCTTCGGAAACCTCAGAAAAATGTACATGAGAAACCAAACGTCATTTAAACTCTGAAAATCGTCAAATAATTACCCCATTTAAATTCAAAATATGCCGGTGCCGACTACGTGACTGCTTTCTCACCCGAATGGGTCTGGCATAAAAATCTCTGCTCACGTCTTCCTTCGGAAGGGAAGTAAGGTCTTTGGTCCCGGCCCTTGTGTGTTGAATGGGTGCGATATCCTACGCAGGTGTGAAAGCTGCCTTCCTGGACATTAGATTGTCACCAATGGATGGCAATCGATGTCCGTCGGTGATTGGCAATAGATTGCGGAACAGAGACCGACGATAAATAAAGGAAAGAGCTTTAAATCTAAATTGGTACTTGTTCGAAAAGGTTTAGAGTAATTCTGGGAGGTTCGAAAAGCTTTAAAAAAAGAGCTCGGAAAACATACAGAATTACGTAAATGTTCAGATAACTTCAGAAAAATTCGGGGAACTCCATGTAAGCTCTGGAAACGTGACGTGATGAAACGTCAATAAAGTTCGAAGAAATCCAAGAAATTCAGAAAAGTTCAGCGATTTCAGATTAGATTTGAAAATATTAACAGGAAATCTCTGTGAATCCCTCTGATGTTTAGAATAGGCTCTGGAAGCAGTGTTGAGACTTATTTGTCTTCTTATTCTTCTTCTTTGAATTTCAATCTTATTGCTTATCGCACCTTAGTGATCTAGATGCGAGATATTTTTAAGACAGGTGGGCAGGAACTCACGGTCTCCCAGTGTTGGTGAGTTCTTTGCCGTTAATGTTCACGAAAAGTTCACTATTTTGCCATACAGAAATTCAAAACAAAAATTTTTATCTGCGGATTTGGACCGTTTTTGACCTGTTTCATACGACCGGAAGGTGTATGCTGGCGACAAATGCCGTGCCAAACTGATTTCCTACGCAATTAATCAATCTTTGATGTGAATTTCGCTGATAAACACGAGGAGCATTTCTTATAGCAAACCTGCCATAACAAAATGGGCATGGTTCATTTTAGTAAACAAACTAACACTTCTTCCGACTGTGTCATCTCTCTTACTCGCCTAGATCTAGATGCACTTCTACAGTCATTAATTTACAGCATTCGATAGTCCCTGCGTCTCGATGAGTCGCATCTTCGCCGACTGGTCACCTCCAGACGAATCTAGAACCGCACTACCGTTCATACTGGCGACAACGTTCCGATGAGACAACGAAACCTCACCCCAAGGTTCTCCCCTGATCCTATCCTTCGACAGTGTACCATTCTAATTTCATGTAAGCTGTGGGTATTCGACCTAACCCCTACTAGACATGGAAATAAGTGAAGTTTGTTAAAAACAATGAACAAGTAGTTATTGACTCCGTAAAGCTAACGTTATTGAGCCTTACAAATAAACAAACTAGATAAAAACAGCTTTTGATGCCTGTATCATTTTTCCATTAGTATAATTGTGTGGCAAGTGCTCTATGTCCAGGGAAGTCGATAAATTTACCAATCCGAAAAAAAATCCTAGACTGGATCGGGAATCGAATCCAGCCACTTCCAGCATGGTTTTGCTTTGTAGCTGCTCCTAAGGAAGGGGCTGCTAAGGTTTCAAATACTTCACGCAATATTGACATAATTATTTTTAACATTGTCACTGGAAGAATTGATTCTCAAAAAAGCTTTCACCAATTTTTTCGTCAATGACAAAAATTTAACTGGTAACAAAAAGTGTAATTTCGAAAGTTCACATTTTGTTATTGAGGCTTGCTCACTTTAACGGCTACATGGATTTTTTTTTCTGGAACTTTGGGCTGTGTATGAACTAAGTAAATCAGTTTTTGGACGATTTTAGAGTCTCTTTTGATGTTTGTTTAAAAAATGTTCCAAAATCTTCTTTGAATGCCAACTCATATTGTCTCCGCATGGACAATAATTTTGTTGGTTTATTAGTTCAAAAGTTCTTGTGATACTTTGACTATATGTTTTAGTATTACTTCTACGTGAAGTCAACGATTTACATAGTTGAAGATGCTAATTTCAAATAACAGACTGAGATGAGATAAAGAGAGATGAAAAAACCGATTTGTACCTTCCTTAAAAGTTGTTCTAGCTCGCTATTCTAATATCTATATGCAATCTTCACACTGCCGTACTCTAACGGAACTATCAACTCTATGCTTTCATCTACTCCATCTATCGTATAAAAATTACCACTACAGTCTGTTATTTGAAATTAGCATATTCTTGTGATAGTTTTCTTATAAATTTCGTTAAATTTTTGGAATGCCTTATGGTCTGAAACTTTGGGCCTCGGCTGCTGCCGTGTAACGAATACCCCACTATGGCCAATTTTCAAAATTTTGCATTTTCTTATTGAGAGTATCAAACAGCACCTATTTTTGACACCGAAAAACTTGAATTTGAATCATTATTCATTAAAAGGAAATCTCCATTTTGCAGCAAAATGACGTCCGTATAACAAAATGTCAAAAAAAAAGGGTTATATTTAGCGGTTGGAATCCTATTGCATTTTTGTAATACCTTAACTGAAAAAAAGGTTCCCCTGGACAATTTTTATTTTGTCGGTTAGGTACGCCACATTGAGATTTTAGAAATACATATACTCTTCTGAACTGAGAAGAAGTTAAGCATCTCGAATCGCAGAATTTACTACATAAACCTCAAACCTCGTGTTTTTTTTCAGACGAATATTTTGTATGAAAACTAACAATTTCCGATATTATTCATTAGATAATCTTTCCAAAAGTTAACCATTCTCGAGCAGAAATCACCTAACTCGGCTTCTAAAGCTACAATCTGGCCTCTCTTTCCAGACATCTGACGACAAAGACAAAGCTAACTCGCCATTCGAATCGAACGGTTTGAAAAAGGAGGAGGTGAATTCGACTAACGGAGTGGTGATCGTAAACGGAATTGATGACGACAAGGGATTTAAGTAAGTTGCCTTTACCTGCCGCAGGCCCTCGCACGGTAACCAACCCATGATTTTAAAATTTTGCAGCCGCACACCCGGCTCCCGTCAGCCATCGCCAGCGGAAGAACAGCTGCCGCGAGGCTCCAATCTGCTGGATGCCCCATCGCACCATGGGTCCGGCTTCCCGCAGCACCCCTCGTTGCACCATATGCTTGGTTCGGCTGCTGCTGCCGCCGCCGCCGCTGCCGGGGTCGGTGGTGGTGCCGGGGCGAACGATATTGCCCAGCAAGCGGCCGCTGCCGCCCTGGGTTCGTACCATCATCCCCAGATGATCAACCAGATGAACCAGATGAATCAGCTCAGTCAGATGAGCCAAATGAGCCAGATGAACCAGATGAACCAGCTCAACCAGATGCAGAGCCACGTGATGAACGGCGTAGGCGGGATCCCGCAGATTACGCAGGTTGGTTCGGTTGGAGTGCGACGTGTTGGGAAGTTCTGCGATATTAATGTTTATTTCTTAAACACTATTTTTAGAGTCAAATGGTTAGTCAACCCGGTCAGGGTCCCAACCAGATTGATTCGCCTGCTAATCTGTTGCAACAGCAACACAACTTTGATGTACAGGTAAGTGAAGTTTTTTTGTTTTTCTTCATTAAGCAATCTGCACTATAAAGATATCACAGCATAAGCGAAGCGAACGAATGGTTGCCGTATCGAATAAGTTTCGATCAGTCGGCGATATCACGCGATATAGAGCAGCTGTTTGGGTGGTGCGTGTCTTGGGGAATCAGCTGTTGATGACATTTCGGTAGCAGCAAACTGCGCATGGGCAGCATTGAGCGCGCGAAAAAAAAAACGAAGAGAAATGGAAAACAAATGTTACCGGTTGAAAATGTGACATTCAGATGGCACAAAAGATATTTGAGTGTTTTATTTTAGTAATGTCCTACGACAAGACAGCGAGGAATCTTTTTGCTGTTCTACGTTGGTTATCAATGCACATTCTCAGTTGTATTTCAGATGAAGGTCTTAGAATATTATAAGACCTTCATATGAAATATTTCCAAATATTTTCATATATGTTAAGACATTCGAAGGAAGCGCAATTTTTTTTTAAATGTTTTATGTATGTTTTATTGAATGCAAAGCCGGATTTGTGTAAAGTCAAAAATGTGTTCGGTTCAAAATAACTTCAAATGGAATATACTATAAGATGAATATTTTATACCATACCGTGACATGTATGGGTTCGGTAGTTTTAAATCTGAGGATGTATGAAGATTGTTAGTTTTTGCACAGAAATTTGTGTAAAGTTCAGTGGAAATGTCGCAGTTACGTAGCGCTAGCATCTCCTGATTTCCTCTATAAATTTATCACTTACGACCAATTTGGCGCTAGATAAATTATCTGTTGAAAAGCCACTTCGCGCTACCAGCACTTAGTGTCTAGTGTAAGTTTTTAGTAATTTTTGTAAGTTTTACAGGAATTTTGTTCGAGCATCAACGTCTGTTCTCTGTGGTTTTTGCTCGATAGTTTAAAAAATTGCGGCGATTATCGCTATAACTTGGGTACTGGCAGAAGTGGACAATGTTTGCTCATCTACTGGTAGTCTCCATGTGGAGTTTGAGAAAAATCGTAAGTAACTACATCTCATCCATTTGCATGGTCATATGCTGGATTGGAATGACTTTTTCCATGCGTTTGGAAGATAATAAGTTGTTCCAATAGTGACGTGTTGGTATTTTCTACACGGCGAATGAGAATGACCCAAATTTGAGTTTAGTTCACTCATAATCGCCAAAAGTGCAGGTAGTAGTAGTACCAAGGCTAATACTAGGAGTAGTACCTATAGACTGAGTCAATCCAATCTTTACTATTCTCATATTCGGTAAGTTTTTCCTAGACAAACCTGAAAACATGAGGCAAATTAACTCATCACTACGTACCTGCACTTTATGTGATTTATGAGTTAACTAAACTCAAATTTGGGTTGTGCTCATTCACCGTGTACTTCGGAAGACTTCCAGGAAAATAAGTAAAAGATCACAACGCTTGGATTTTTCATGAAAATCTGACAGGTTCAGAATACTTCTAAACGTGGTTCGTGGGATCTCTATCATTATTGATTTCGACCCGGTTTATGAAATTCCATAGACTCGTGGCCGACCAATATTGAAGACAGAAGTTAGTTAGCTAGTTAGTTTTTTTTTTTTTATTAAAGAGGCTTTCAGCCTTTCGCTGGTTCGCTTCTGACTATACAAGACAGAAATTGTAAGTTCAAATTGGTCTAAAAACTCCAAAAACAAGCCTTCTGCAACCCACCAAAAGAACCGTCAAGCGTCAATATAACTTTAAAATGCCAAAATATTCAAAAATGCTATGAAAAGCCGAAATGGTTAAGGTTTATTGCAACAACAAAAAAGCTTACACAAAACGTAAAATCTGCAACTAAGTCTCGAAATTGTTTAAAAATTACAAAATGATGATGAAACGCCAAATGAAGCAAACAACGGTCTTAAACGTGGAAAATGATATAGGGGTATTTACGTATTCTCGGCAACCGAAGCAGCGACCTTCTTTCTATAGCCTTTTTCTCTAAGGAACGCACACATATGCAGTATTGGTTTGTTTACTTTCTTTTGCTGCCAGCTGCTCTAACAATTTCAGTCGAAAGAATTGTTAAAAACTGTTTTGAAACGCTTTTACAAAGCTCCAATCTTCTCTAGTGAGAGCGAGTATTGTCGGCAACCAGTTTTTCTTCGGCAACCGTTCCATTTGAACTGCATGTAAATCTGCTGTTCTATTATCGGCAACTCGAAATCAGCTACAATTTGTAGTGCGTGTGTTTCATTTCAATAAAACCTTGCTAGATTGCTTTTTCTCAGTGGTAAAAATATAGTCAAATTGAAGCTGAAAGCATAAGGAATCGTTTGCATGCATTCAGCGAAGTGTTTTCGTAATAAAATCCAGTGAAAATAGTGTTTCAATTTGGGTTGCCGAAAATAGTCTGTCATGCCGAAGCCGTCATTTCCCCTATGTAAATAGCTTTGCTATCATAGCTTTTTTTTATAATTTTTTTTTATAAATAACTTTTTAAACACATTACTTTAAAACGTTAACCACCTACTTTTTTTTTCGCCGAAATAACCTCAAAATATAAAAATTTCCAAAATTACCTGAAGACCTCCAAAACAACATTGAAAAAGCCCAAATTAGAAACGCCGAAAATGCCCTTAGAGGTCCAAACTCGTTTAAATGGCTGGGGCAATCGCCAAAATAGTCCTAAAATTAAATGACACCACCAGGACTGTGGAGTCGAGGAATCAAGTTTGTACTATCCAGGAAATTAAGATTTTAGAATAAAATCTTAATTTATTGGACAGTACAACCTCGTTATTTGATTGTTATGTTTTTGTTTTGTTGAATCTTACTTTACGTTACAGAGACTGAGTGATCCAGTTTAATTTTTCAGATCATGGACAAATGAATGCACTAAATATGTTCGTATCTACGATTGTTGACCAGATCAGTTTAGCCAGTCTATATTCCAGTGGCATCCAAGCCTTTTGGGATTTTCCTTATTAAAGAGTTGTTTAGATTTACCTGCTTTACTTTACTTAATTCTTGGGTTATTAGTTAGCTAGGCTCCGATTCTGCACGTTGTAGTTTCATTTTTATATCGGTGATCTTGACATGTTTACTAGACTGATGCAAAATTTTAAATTTTCTCTCCACAATGCTCAAACGGTTTCAAATCAGGTCCTGATTAGCCTCCGAAAATTTAAACTTATTTGGTAAGAAACTGACTTGGCACAAACTATTCGAAGTTTGTATGGAAATTACTATGGGAAAACCAAACTTTTTGTTCATTGTCTTCTACCCATTTTCCATATTACTTTGCGGAATATTGTTTTTCAGCCAAATGTCATATTAAATTGTTATTAATTGTTTAAGAGATTGATAATCCTAAGGCATGATCAAGCAGTTGTTCTGTGGGCAACACTGTATTCTGCAGTGTGACATAGTAGCCATAATATTTGTGCTCTATTGTTCGCACATGAAACACCAATATTGCCTGCTGAACAGTTGAATGAGCATAATCATAAGACATCAGTGACTTAAATCATTAATAACTTTTGTTCCTTACATTTGATTGAAAAATGGTTTTCAACAAAGTTGTAGCTGAAAATTTGCAATCACTGCTATCATTTTTGAAAGCATAGTGATGCGGTGAATTGTTAGATAGATATGAACAAAAACATAAGTTTCACCATAGAAATTCCCATATAAACTTGAAATGGTTTGTGCCAAGTCAGTTTCTTACTATAGTAGTTCAATTTTGGGAGGCTAAGCAGGACCCAATTTGGACCCGTTTAAGCAGTGTGGAGCGAAAATTTCAAATTTCGCATCAGTCTAATGTTTACCTACACTGAGGCAAATAAACTTAAGAATTTCATAAGGCTCGACTTTGAACGACACATATGAATTTCATAAGCGTGAATTATTAATGACTTTCGTCCAACATGAGGTAGCTCTTACACGACTATAACCATTCAATTTTCTCAAGCGTTGAAAGACGAGTGGTCAACACTCAGGCCTCGTAATCTCAACATCCATGGTTCGGTTCCAGTGTGCTCCGTTTTATTATTTTGTTGTCAACATTATTTTTCATATGGCAAATCAGTGAAATTCAATTCATCAATTTGTGGCTAAATTTCATAAGTGGATCTTATGAAATTCTTACGTCCATTTACCACAGTTTAGGGGATGAGTACTTAAGGGTGCTTAAGATTTTGACAAGTCTTTAGTGGAATTGACACTGATGATACGTATTTATGAATTCAAAAATTAATTAAGTGGAATTTAATTGAAGATAACCTGTTTTTAGCTATTGTTTTAATGCATTCCACTAACGACCCAATTTCAACCCAACTTCGTTTTAAGAGTTTTTTAGCAGGTAGATTGAGTTTAGGATGATGTCACTGATGGATTTAGATCTTTTAAAAATCTTAGATGATGCAATTCGATAATTTAGTGTGTAAAGTGTCCAACGAATATTGTAAGTGATTTAGGTATATATGTATGAGTTATACATTTTGAAAAATATCCACTGTCTACAAGCATTAATAAAAAAATAATAATAGTACAGGACATCCAAAGTATGTAGAACCATATGATTATTTATAGTCAGACATCAAAATCAATAACAGAAACTTTTCCAATTTTCAGAATATAAAAGAAAATTCCAAAAATCGAAATCTTCAGTGTTTTTTCAAGTCTCAGTTCTCACAAAAATAAAACATCTCATAAGCCACTGTCCATAACCGAAGAAACGACTAACTTACCACCTATGCCATAGCAACGTGGTAGATATGATCTCTAGATTGGCAAGTCAATCAGGAAAACCTGAAAAACCAGAAAGATTTTATTGAGTAAATGAATTGCGTATTTATCGTTCGTTTCAAGAATTTTGTTGTTGCATCAAGCGTTGGAGGCGAACCAGCCTAAGGCTGAAAGCCTCCTAAATAAAGCTAAATTAATTAATTGTTGCATCAATTAGATTGACGATAGCGACGTGCTTCGTTGATCGTAGAATCGAGAAAAAATAGACAAGTGCATATGGT